CTCCCTAAACGACTAAATACGACCCCTTCCCCAGCCGAAAAGTACGATCCCCCTACGTGTTTCACACAACGATGCTGTCTTGTCTGTGAAAACGAGAAGGCTTGGGACGGGGCGTGGCTTAGAGTGCTGCCAAGGCGCCTGCCTCAAGTTCGTGTTTTGATCCTCCCGGACAAATACGGTAAGTGTTACTCAACGGACCCGGGAGTGGAGGAAAACTCAACTGGCCGTATGATGAAACAGAAGCTTACAAAGTGTAACGCGGCGTCGCTCATCCATAATCCACGTCAAGTGCTACTTCTGTTTGTCTTTTAAAAAGTTTCTATATCAAACAACGGGATTTCTAGCTCATTCCCGCCACACAACCCTACTTACTCCAGTCCAACAGCAATAAAAATTATAGCAGAGTGTAAGTGGTTCCAGTTGTCCCAAGCCTTCTCCCAAAGATGGAAACGCCCAAGGAGAATAAGGGGGTGAAGCTTAGAAGCGCTAGAGTTGCAGATTTCTTCCAGTTTCGTCTCTATTGGGCTGTTTCTTCGAAAGTGAACAAACACTGGAGCTGTCTTACTCTGAATACATACCTTCTCCAATCTGGCTTTCTTTTCGGCCGGATCCAAACCTCGTAGGTTGCTTGGAACATACCAGAAGCAGATATTCAAAAATTCGGGCTGGAATTAATACACGTTCACGAAAGCTGTAGAAATTAACTGAAGCTTTTTCAAAAATCCAGGCTGCACAATGCAAGGCCCTTGCCACTGAATTTACTCGAGTAATTGTTGATTCACTCACTGGATCAACAACGAGTTCATATCCTTCCGTTTCACGAATTCTTTGAGTGAAGTACGCAGCCAAGTCCATCAATCTATTGATCTGCTGCCTGTAGCCTTCCATTCCCTAAATGGAAAATTGCAATTCATTCCATGTACCGGACGTCGCAAGGCCAATGGCTTAAGCTGCGTTTATACTTTGCGGGCGAGCGTAGGCGTAGCGCTTACCAGCGTTTATAGCGTTTTCGAGTAAGAAGAGTAGGAGAGTAAAAATGCTCCCTACGCTAGAGAGTATAGATGATAGGAGAGTAATTGTTGTACTCTCCTACTGTTTTATATTTCTAGCCCCGCCGTACAGAACCTAGGGAACGTCGTGAAACGCTGGAGACGCGCTAGATGATAGGCTATGCTCTCACCGTGGCTCGTCCGCTACGCGCGTACGCGTATGACGTGGGAATGTAGAGTCAATATCTATTTCCCCGACACTGCCGCTGCGTACGCTGAGGTGCTACGCTAAGCGTCTATCGCTGCCGCAAGTATAAAACGGCGCCTTATGGCAGTGAATATTCCTGTGTAAGAAATCCAAGGCAAGCCGTGTGTCGGCGGGCGGGGACATTTGTTTGGATACGCCCTCTCGAACTGTTGCTCTCGGAGCTCGTTCGTTCAATCGACGCAGTCATGTAAACAAACTTTCACTTTCCACGAAAAAATACCGTGGGGTTGGGGAGGGGATCAGGAGGAGGTACGAAGGGCAGACATTTCCGACATCTTTCCGACGTGACTTCAGTAACAGGGACCAACGGACTAACGGTTTCTCATAAGGTGATTTGTACAAGCTTCGCTGAATACCTTCTGGTGCCCCCTCCCCACCGAGCATGTAACTGCGCTAATAAGAAGAGTGTGGGCAGAACTGCGCTAATAAGAACTGTGTGAAACTGAGCAATCTCTAACGTTTTTTCTAGGAAAATTGAGGAAATGCTGATGTGTACATCGGCCAGGACCCAAAATTCATTGTTCGAGCTACCACTCCATACAGGGGTGGGGGGAGGGAAGAAGATATTTCGTTTTCGGGGTGCATTACTACAGAGTATCTTGTTACCCATTCGCTGAGAATAGCAAGGTTTGAGGGAGACCCATTGGGTTTTTTTGATTCAAGGGAAATCCGCTGTTTTTTTTTTGTATTTTTCCTTTCCAATTTTCTGTTTTTTTTTCAGGAAAAGTTGAACTCCAACCTTACTCTTCCACATTAGCCACAATTTGAACACGTCATTATGTCGTCCACATTGAATCGCTTTGTCACCGGTATCATAACTGACATCATAGGGCTTATCTTGCATGAACAGATAATCAGCTGACATCTGATTGCATTGGAACAGTAGACCCTGAAGATGAAAGGTGTAAAATATTGTGAAAAATAAAGCCCGAAAAAATGATAGCTCTATTATTGCATAGCCCCTTGATTCTTTATCAGTTTTTCGAAGCTTCACTGGAATGTTCGAACAACAGATGAGGCTCGCAAAAAGAATTAAATGTTATGCAATATAAACTTTCTAGATCCTCGCCTCACAAATAAAGAATAATTTTATAATTTTCATTGATCTTGAAAGATATACTGAGTATAATTCATGATAGCAGATATACGCATACAGATGGACCCCATATGGAATGACTCACAAAATTCAAATACTGCATGTTGTATGGTCCAAAAGGATGAGCATGTCCACGCAATCGCAAAGTTCGCACCTCAAGACTTTCACTTAATTCACTTACTTGAATCTTTTTAGATTCTTATAAGGTATAATTTAACATCGATTTAATAATATTGAAGCAAAAGGGCCATGGTAGTGGCGGAATGTGACAAGGCAATCGTAAGGCTGCGTTTATACTTTGCGGCAGCGTAGCGTAGCGCTTCCAGCGTTTCACTAGCGTTTCGCTAGCGTTTGCAGCGGCGGGCTAGAGAGTATAGAAGAGTAGGAGAGTACAAAATACTCTCCTACGCTAGAGAGTATCGAAGAGTAGGAGAGTATTTTGTACTCTCCTACTCTTCTATACTCTCTAGCCCCGCCGCTGCAAACGCTAGCGAAACGCTAGTGAAACGCTCGTGAAACGCTGGGAACGCTAGATCGATATCTATCCTTTCCCCGACACTGCCGCTGGCGTACGCTGGAAGCGCTACGCTACGCTGCCGCAAAGTATAAACGCAGCCTTACTGGAGTTACACCTCTTGAACACCTCTGCGA